CGCGCACCGGGGTGACTCGGTGATAGAGAGCACTGCTGGACTTCTTCCCCGCTGCATTCAAGCGGATGTCCTTACCCTTGCTGGCAGCCTTCCAATGGCCTGGCTGCACCAATGAAAAGCAATTGCTATTTGGAGGTCTTGTGATCTCCACCCTGGCATCCTTCACAAATGCCCACTCCCACTGGCTGGTGCCCATCTCTGGTTCTGACGACTCTTCCAAAGAGCTCAGCGAAGGGCACTCCATGTTTGACTCCTCATCCTCAGACACTTCCACCGGAGGTTCAGGCATTTGCGGCATATGGTCCACCATGTTGCCTGCCATCCTAGACTATGGCTATGGGCGAGCCGGGACAGCCCTGCCACTTGCGCGAGCAATGAAGCCCTGCGCCAAATGCTTGATCAAACATTGCTTGCACAATGACGAACCAGGCACTCAAACACACCATGTCCCCTACCACCCCCTCAACCTATATGAAGGATTGTACGGCATGAAGCCTTTGAAAATGTTTCTCAACACAACCAAAAACCAAACCATCTCATCAAACCTACCGAGCGCACAAATCTCAAAGGGTTGACCAACCATGCACCTCTCCAAATGATGAAGGGCCTCTCATTCTCCAACCAACTCTGTGTCAGCTGCCTCGAACCTCGAAATCCATGCCGAGCAAAACAACACAGAATTAAAAAATATTCATTTGTGTTCACTCCATGGTGTTTAGGAATTGTTTGACCAACCAAACATCGTCAAGGTTTTGTCAAATGACAAAATATTGATAAGTTCAAGGTTTTGTCGAACGACAAAAGTTGTAAACTAGCACACACATATTTATATCGATCGATATAAATATAAATATATATAATATAATAATATATCAATATTTTTATCGATCGATAAAAACTAGATGGGTCCCAATTCAGATTTATGTCGATCGATAAAAACTTAAACTATACCCATCCATATTTTTATCGATCGATAAAAAATATCAATCGCCCTGGGGGAACAAAACTCTGCCCGTTTTTTTGCCGTAACGAAACGCTGCCCGATTTTTTGCCATCAATTTTCGAGTGGAGTTTAGGGTTTAGGGTTTTCACCCCCCCCAACGCGCGCAGCGTCACAACACCATCAAAGCAGCATTTCGACTCGGTCTGCGAGCGGTCATCGGACCATGACCATGTTCAGTCTGTGGAACTGTACAAGAATGCATACCAACGCCAGTTGAATAAGGTCTCTTATCATTCTGAGGCTTGGCGCGCACGAGTCTAGACTAGATTGAACAAAACACAATGTCACAGTTCAATCATTGCGTGATTGAGTGGCATGCATAAATATGTCCAACACCATGCCTCTAGTTGCACTTCATGGCAAACCTTCAGCCCCGCCACCACACCAGTTCTGGGTGAGAAAAAGTGGCGCCTCTCAAGCATCCTTTGACATGGATGAATTGTGAGAAAATTGTTTATTTTCAAATTGCCATGAATGAGTTGGCCCCACACAAGCTATCAGCAAAATGCGTGCTTTGCATGGAGCAATTGCTACGCGCGATCCCTCTTCTGGTCGATGAGCTTGTTCACAGCTTGCCATGCCAACACGCGCTCTTCCTGGATTGCCGCGCTGGCATCAGCCCGCCAATACTTCTCGCTCTTCTTCTCTTGGGATCCACTCCCTCGACTGCGCTTGCGCACGCGGCCCATACCGCACCTCAGCCACGGTTGGCACCCTCCAAACGAATTGCACATAGGTTGATTGGCAGCTGAAATAAATTTTAATCTATTGAGGTGCTCATTAACAACAGCACTAAATTCACACGTTCAAAAAGCACACAGTGACCCACAAAAACACTCGCCCCCAAAACGGAGCCCGACACCGATCCAAACATTGCCTGTGTCCCCAATGCAAATCTCAGGCGCTCCCACTCATTGCCGTCTGGATCTTTGTATCCATCGGAGGTGTAGACGCCACCATAGTCATCCACCTTGCCCTTGTTGGCAGCTTTGCCCATCCGGTGCTGAAAGGCCCAAAAGGGTTTGTGTTTGCTCTTCGTTTTGTACTTGCCCTTGTTCATGCCCTTGTAGCCATACCAGCGTTGGCCACCCCACTCCTGGCGAACATGGCAAACGTCACTTGTCCCCTTCCCGCTCTGGTACCTGGCGTGCCAGTAGCCATGAGTGGCCTGTCCCGCTAACTCGGACTTGTCCTGATGGCGATCATCGCAGGGATCCACTGGTTCTGATGGCGATGTCGATGGTGGGGGCGGCGGCGGCGGTGGTGGTGGTGGATGCTGATCACTCCACTCCCACCATTCAGCCTCCTCATCAGCCTCTTCTTCCTTGCATTCGGTCCACCACTCCTCCGATTCCACTTCCACGTCCACGTACTCCTGCTCCTCCTTCACATGACCTGGATCAATGTCTGATGGCTCTTTGCTCTGCTGCGTGAAGGCTGCTTGGAGTAAACGAGCTAGACTGTCGTCGTCAGGCACCTGACCAGAATTGCATTGAAGGAGACTCAAAAAAGGACTGTTGCGATGGGTGACCTGAACTAGGGGTTCTGGATCAGAAACACAGTGTTGGGAAAGTGGCCTACATTGTTCACAACTTTGGATGATCATGAGTGGAATGATTCAGCTCCAGGCCTCCTCGACGTGGGATGATTGCAATGCCTCATCCGCAGAGCTAGCGCGATCCGCCATCGTAGCAGGAGCGAACGACGCAGCACCACTGTCAGCTGCACGGTCAGCTGCATCAACAGGTTCCATGGTCAGCAGCCAAGGAATGATGCTTGGTCATTCAGTGATCATTGTCCATGTGCCACCTAGTTCTCTGAGAACAATGCACCAAATGGAAAGGTTGTGACTTAATGGGTCTTCCACAATTGCACCAACAACATAGCGCTCCCGTTCGTGCTTTGGGCCAAAACAACGAAGACCACGAAGACCGACGACGCCCGCCTCTGGCCCTTGGAAAGGCTGAGGGGTTGAGCTCAACTGTTCCTGACTAAGGTAACGTGTGTCATTTTACAAAGGCAAAAGAAGAACCCGATCAAACAGACCAACACTGCAAGCAAGAGTAGAAACATTATCAAACAAAACACGAAACAAATTCCAATGCACTGGCATTAGCTCACACCAAAAAACGCCGCAAACCTCTATGTTTCCTATACGCGCACGACAGGTGCGTCACTCCGCACAAGACCCAACCTAAGACCTAAGAGTCTTGCAAAGTTTGAGCGTCACTGTATGGAGACCTTGGCTGGGCATCATGACCTGGAGACTCACGGGAAAGATCAATCGCAAGATCTGCTGAACGAGTGGGCTGATCCGTGTACTCCATGGTGTCAGGCAAGGTTGGGAGAGGGGTGCTACCACCGGTCTGACCCGGCTCTGCGACGGTCTCAACCACGGGATATGAAGAAGGTGGCCCCTGTGGCCTGGGAGTGTGTGGGCTTGAAGCCAGCAGGGCAAGTCTACGAAGACGGGATCGTTTGGGCGATGGCTTGGGCTTGCCTTTGGCTGCAGTGTTCTTGCTTTTGGTCTTGCCACGGTCAGACTGACCTGCCCGCACCATGACCCTCATGAACTCCATGTTTGCCTCAGTGAGTTCCAACCACAAAGTGGAAGAGTCAAGCCCCCAAAGGACTCTGGCCCCAAATCCTCCACAAACACGCCCATCATTCGTGGTCAACTCGTCCAGCTCAATTGTGACATGATCATCAACCAACTCCTTGTCTTCATCTCGGATCTTCCTTTTCTTGCCCTGGGAGTTCTCAGTCTCCAAGGCCCGGTGCACTGCCTGCACACTAGCAGCCTTGCGGCGCTGCATGAGAGCATCGAATCCCTGCACATTTGCAGATCGCTGATGTTCCAAGTCCATGCCTTTGCCTAAGCAGAAATAGACAAAGGATCGATCAAACTTTGAAAGTTTGATGTATGGTCTTCCATGGCTATCATCTTTCGTATTGGCCACCCAGAACTTGGACCGCCGATTGTCACAGCATTTGATGACCCACTTTTGGGCGATGGTCATTCGAGGCTGCTCCTCAGCCTCTTCAGAAGGAGCATCCGCCATGGATGACACTGAGAAACACCGAGGAAACCAGCCAACTATTGATATGGCTGCGCGAGCTTTTTAAGAATGCCCTGCGCACTCACCAGACTTTCAACAAAAGCTAATGAACACACGCATCTTCTTCCACGCAAGGTTTGCTCAATCAACTTCTCAAGACTGCCATTTGGCCGAAAGGGGCCCCAAACAGTGTCGGGCGTTGGTCTTGGACATATAGGTGGTCTGGCCTGAGACGCGGCAGAAACTGATTTAGCGGTTGAGCAGTTGCACTGGCGTTCCATTCAACATGAAAAAATACATATGATGTTCTTCTTCAAAACACGCTCATATAGTATGTCTTAGTAATGCAATTGAGGGCGAGCCACAAAATGGCCCTGCCTCTGAAGCACGAGCTGCAATAAAAGCCCTGTGCGATGTACTTGACAAGTTTGTCACACGCTAAGATCTACAGCTATGTGGCTGTCACAGTTTGACTTTAGTGACTGTTGCTTTCAACTAACCCCACAGCTCTCAGCTGAAGAAACTATGCTGGGATCCCGTCAGCACGTAGAGGTTTGCCCACCTGTCGGTATTTTGAGCTGGACGAAAAGCCACAATGCTTGCACTTGAATACTTTACTCACGCAAATGAACCGCTCTCAAAGCACAGGATGAATACTTTTTTGCTGAACCTACCTACAACCTTCTACCCTGATCATAAACATGATTCACCATCTCCTTTTCACTTGCTGACGTATCATGCTTCATTTATGCAACAACTGCCCTGACGCCAACCCACGCGCTTGCCTCCTTGCAAAAATCAAAACTGGGCACTAGACCCATGAGATGACTGAACACCAGTGACATACCAATGAATCGAAAGCACAAAGCAAAAGCGCAAAGGTCAGGCTTGTTTAAAGCTTGCGATGTTGGCCTGCACGTCTGGCAAGGTTTTGTAAATCATTCCTTTGACTTAGTCCTTCTGCGTTTGGCCGGCTCCGGCAGGGGGACCAATGGCTCTACGCTCACAGTTTTTTCTTTCTTTGGGACAAACTGCAATAGAACATCATCTACATAAATATCCTTTGTATTTTGAAACAGCGGAACCTTGATTTTGTCATTGTTCTCATCGCAAGAAAGCATTGGAGAAAGCTCTACGTTGGCTTTAGCAGCTTCATGAGTTACCCTCACTGACCAAAAAGGCTGGAGATAGGCCTGGTCAAGGCTACCATCCTTGTCCGGTCCCTGGTAGCACGATCCCAGCTGGAACTTGATCCCGTCAATCACACCCAAACAAATCGACCCTGCGGCTGGCTCGCCGCGAGTCTCAATCTTGTAGGTGCAAGGCACCAAGACCAGCTTTCCTGGTTGAAACAATCTGGTGGCAACCACATCCCTTTGGGGCTTGATTGTCATTTTGACCCCTGATAGAACTCCCTTGTGCTTGTTCTCCAAGCTCAAAAGCATGTTGAAGATCTTGCCGCGAACTGCTCCGACCTTCATCTCTCGGGAGTGGAGAGCCGAATGAAGGGAACAATCAGGCACTTCCAAAGGGGGTTCGGGCACTGTCTTCAAAATTTTCCATTCACCCTGACGAAAGGACCGAGCTGAAACCTGGGCGCGTCCACTGATCGGGCCGTCGTCCACACTGACGGTGACCAAATTGCCACTGAGACCAGTGATGACGGCTTTAATCTTGTCCGCCTTGCGAACAACTGCTTGGCCCACATCAAAGCCGAGGTCTCTCACCACGGCGCACTCGTCTTGGAGCTGGCCATCCAAGTTCATTTCCCTGATCCTTAAAAGGGTTGGGCAAGCACAGAACTATTCAAAAGGAAAGGACAACAATTACAAATCCACCAGTCGTTTGCAATATTCAAGAAACCACACACTCAACATGTACCGTAAAACAAACCACAGGCTCAAACAACCTCTCGAAGACCCAGCAGTGTGTGGTGTTGTTGTAGTTTTGCGGTGGGCATCATAGTCGGAGCTGATCTTGACCTTGGAAACTTCGAAGAGTTTGTCGACCAACACACACGCAGCTTCCTCGAGATTGGTCATCGAGGCTTTCTTCTCAAGACACATAAGCACCACTGCATCTTCAAATTCATCCAGGGCTTGAAGGCAATCTGCCCTGACCTTGGCTTCTAGACTGTCAAGGTTGACGGCTGAGAAATCAGCCTGGACTTTTTTGATGATCTTTTGGCCGTCCAGAACCTTGCCAAAGATCTTGGGATCCTTGCTTGTGACCCGCCGCACATCACTGGCGTTGACCATCTTGCGGTCTTGGCCACAGTACGCAAGGGACAACACAGCATGCCTGAAATGCACACAGGCATCCTGCTGTGCATCCTTGTGGTCCATGGACAAACAGCGGAAGAACTCAGCACCGAGATTGCGAGGACTCTCCTTGGACCCCTTGATGCGCTCTTCAATCCTGCAAATGCGCTCTTGGAAAGGCTTCGATGCCCCATAGCGCACTAGGAAAGTGAACATCTCAGGCACTGCCTCCGCACACTGCGGTTTGGTCTTCATGATTGACTGCTTCACTGTGGCAAACAAGAGGTTTGTTCCTGCACCTCCATTTGCATTGATGGAATTCAACACTCGTTTGAGGATCTGAAACTCAGATTCGCCGCGACTCAACTGAGCTGTGGTGTTGCACACAGCTTGAATCACATCAGCTAGCCCTGGTATTGACATAGCCTGGGATGATATGACTCTCCAGCTCAGCCCTTTGGTGGCTGCCTCATACATGGCAAAGTCGACCTGCTTCACTTGTTCAAGCTGGAGCTTGCCATCCACAACAAGTTTGCTCTTCTCATCATGCGGTGTGGATGCCAGGATGCATCGCAACGCAGCATTTGTGTGTGATGCAGACAAGCTGGCATAGCACAACTGGTGCTTTGAAATTGGAGGCAATAAGCCAAACGAATTGTCCGCAAGCCTCGTGTTAAATTCGAAGATGGTCGAATCACTGCGGTCCACATCACAACAAATGGGATTGCACTCCCGTGGGTCAAAGCCAACCTCGACAATGTCTTCAAGCAGTTGATGGCAAGCTTGAGGAGCAATTCCAAATCCGTCACGATTTTGCACGTGACAACCTATGTAGCCAGGCTCAATTGTTTGAGTTCTCATCAAACCCACTTGGCTGAGCCTGGTCAGAAGCCGTTGCATACCAACAACTATCCCAACTTTGCCTTGGGCTGATTTCACAAGCTCCTCGAGCTCACTTTTGGTGGCAGAATCCAACGCCATTGCTGTCAACACTACGCTAGTTTTGATCTCAACGCCCCAAACTTGCACAGCGAGCCATTTAATGGGCCCTGCTGATGATCTTGGGCGAGCTTCAATTGCCCTGCCCTCACATGTCTTGACTGCAAACGAAGCTGAATCCCCCCCCCCCCCCCCACCCCTCATATCCCCCTAGTTTTGGTGGTTTTGTGGTGGATACCAGACCCCGCTCATTATCTTCAATTGCATGCAGTGGGTTTACCAAAGCCTACCAACTCCAACATTCTTCTTCAAAAGTCAAAGTTGAAAAGGATCAGCCTATACTAAGCAAGCGGCAAACGGAGAAACACCCCGTGATCTAAAAAGCAAAAATAGGGTATGAATTTAAAGTTTTCTGGCAGCATAAGAATATCGACGCTTTCCTTTTGCTTAAAGATACATCTCTGATCTTTGTCCATTGGCAAGAACGGGTTGCTAACTCTAGAACTGCCAAATGGATCGAAACTTGAAACATTGAAAAGATCGTATTTCAAATAGTAAGCAAACACGCAATGGCGAACACATGGTTCCGTTTTTCAGCGACATGGAAGGATTTGTGGTGTCATGTCCGGCCATGCGTTGGTAGGGACCCATCGCGGCTCCAACCCAAACACCGCACACCCGGTCGGCAAGCACGCCTGCGTGCAGGCTGCCGCGCCAGCCCAGCAGGCCGCACACGCCCGGCAAAAACATACGCACGGTGCGGGGCAACGGTGGAGCCCCAAATGATAAGGCAACAACGAAAAGGTTCCAAACCAGAAACGCCCCTATAGTACAGTACAAATAAAATTAATGGTTTGCGTGGAAAAAGTTTCTACGTGCTGGAAAGGGAAAAAACAGGTTTCCGAAGACGTCCACCAAGGAAGAACGAGTTCATTGGCATCTCTATCTGGTCGTGCACCGCCCATATCAACCGCTGAGCCATCAAAAAAAGAACAGGTCGTTTGCAAAACAATTGAAAAGCGTGGCAGCTGCATACCATGCGCCTTTGAAAGGCAACACTCCTAAAACGTTACAAGCCTCATTT